TCCTTGATGACAGCGAAGTTGAAGTCATGTTCTGTTTCGTAGGTGTGAGCTGCAACTTGTGATAATTCGTCCCCTCGTCGCACGGCCTGCTTTTGTTCATGTATGCGCGATCCGAGCATACGTTCCGCTTGACCTGTGTAATTACAGGGACAGTTTAGGCATGGGGTGTGGTACACTACTCCCGATTGTTCATTCCGTGTATGCTGGTCTTTTATTTTCATCATCCTGCTGCGCATTGTAGCTTTGGGTCCGTGTGCAATTCTAAAACCTAGTCCCGCAGCGATGCGCTCAGTCGCTTCTGAGACGTCTTTATGTATCACAGAGTTTGCCATATCCTCGCTGGTTCTTCTGTTTGGGTCCTCCGGGTCCGAACGCGTAGGCATCGGTTTATAAATGCTTTCGAATAACCGTTCCGCATGAACTGATTGCATAGATATCTGGCCTCGCGTACCTTTTCTTCCGGTTAACTGCAGTGCTTCTGAATCCGTTTTAAGAGTGTTTTTACGCAGTTCCGTTTATGAGCAACTGGATGGTTACTGTAAAAGCTGAGAAGTTCTGTAGTGTTCGTCGCCTTCCTGTAAACCGTCCTCCCGATTTCACCGTTGGATGTTCTCTTAATTAGAACATCAAGAAAAAGCAGCTGCTGCTCTTTTTCGTCTTCCCTCGTAAATTATATGTCGGTAAAGATTCCATTAGCAAGTTATGGACGTTTTCAGCATGCTCTAGTTGATGATCACAAACGTGGCGTCTACGAAACGAGACGAAAAGACGGATTTGTTTTAGGTGACGCTGGTTTTTCTAGCTCTTGCAGGACCAGTTCTGCCCCTAAACCAGAGATCGGGTATCCCATCGGAGTGCCCTTGATCTGTTCGTAAGTTTCTCCGGCAAAAGCAAAGCACATTTTTTGGCAGAATTCGAATAATGGCAACAGTAGCTTATGTAGCCCCAATCATTAATCCCTACAACTTGCATGTTTTCCTGCGAAAGCGATGTTTATCGGGTTTTATGGACGGTTAATTAGGACACACAGTTGAATATATATTAATTAATGCTCAATGCATTTTTATTTTACTGTATTTAGGAGTGTTGTTGATTTATATCTGTAGATTTTGCTAATCTGTATTATTATGTAACTTATTGCCGAAAAACTCGATTATCAAACTGCAGGTTTCTTGAATTACATGAAAAATTGAGATGGTGGTTAGGAGGTCATCTATTTCAACTTACCTATGGTCCAACTTACCGTTCTGGAGTTAAGTTAGTATAGTCCGCGGCGCGAAGCGCCGCGCACACCTTCAATTTACATGCGGAACAACCTGCTCCCGGCGGCCGCGGGAAGCAACTTCGACTAATTTTTTTTTCCACTTTACACTTTCTTCTAAAAATTTCCTTCTCTGCCTATCCTATTTCTCCACCCCACAAAACTCTATTACCACCGTTTTTTGGAGCAAAATCCTGGGACTAGGGATATATGAGTGGGGCTACACAAGCTACTTTTGTCCGCATAACTTCATGATATATTCAATTTTGAGTATTCTTCGGTTATCATCGAATGCTTCTTCAAGTCTCTTGTGCAAGACATCGTGCGCCAGATTTGGCGGTATGAATATGAAAAACAAAGTCGCATCGAAAGAGACCATGATTTCGTCCGATTGAATCGTCCCACCTCGGAGGTCCTCGAGGAATCGGGAGGCCGATTTAATTGAGGTAATTGAGTTGCCTTGGAGGAATTTCAGTTTTCTATACATCCAGTTTGCCAAGTTATAGGTAGGGCTGCCCATAAGGGCAACGATTGGCCGATAGGGGACATTCGTTTTGAGGATTTTTGGCAGTCCATAAAATCGGGCCAGATCTGCGTCCGTTACTTTCATTTGGCGCCACTCATTTATCCTAATCACTTTCTTGCGCCGGTATTCTCTGAGTAGTTTAGTCAGTCGATTGGAGACTGCTTTGACTTGCTAGTTCCGTGTTGGTCGTTAAAATTCTCTGTTGTAAAGAAGAGTCCTAGCTTTGTCATTGTAGTCTTGTCTATTCATCATGACAGTTGACAGTCCCTTATCAGCAGGTAAGAAGATAGTACTGTCACCTTGTCACAGTTCTTTCATGACTTTTGACTCACTTTGCGAAATGTACCTGGTTGGTTTATGAGTCATAAGCATAGAGGTCACGCGTTGTCGTACTGAACGTTTCGTGTCGTTAGTTGCCTCCGTTCTCACAAACGTCGCTTCTGCTGCAGCAATGAAGTCGAGTGGGTCGACATCTGCGGTGTTTAAACTAGCATCGTGCTGTAGCACATGCAACTGCTGCTCTGTTAGTTGTTTCAGCGGGAGGTTGTGGACAACGTCGGAGTTCGTTGTGTCTGTGGGTTTTAAATTTATTAAATTTTCTCTCCAAAATCTCAATTTTCTTGGCCTGCCGGTGTCCGGTTAAAGTTGAGATCGTTTTCCCAAGATTCTCGGCAATAAAATCTCCGAATACTTGGAAACACTGTCTCCTTTCCTCCTCAATCTTAGCTTTGCATTTTGCAGGCGCAGTCATCAATCAGAACTCTCACCATCTGTTTGATTTATCTTTTATCGACTTCTCTGCACATAGCCGTGCTCAGGGGTGTCTTATAGCTGAGGCATCGTGGCGTCAGTTGCTGCTGAAGGCACTTATGAAGGTAGCGCAGCTGCTCATACGCTGCTTTTCCATGTCCGACGATGGACTCCTGCGGTAGCTCGAAAGCTCGGAATAAAATACAATCCTTTCTGGTGTTCGATCATATGTCTTCTTTACCGATAGAAATACCTGGAACACGAACTTTCTCTTTCATTTGTCACTGTCAAGTAACGCTGTCATGTGCAAGGCCCCAGGGTACAATTTTCGGAAAGCCAAAAATACAATTCATAGATGTTTATCCACTCCCGCTGTACAATGACTATCTTTGTTGGCAAACCAACTTCCACAACCGTATCGGTCGGATGCTAAAATAACGCACTGCGTTGATAAAATATTCATAGTGTTGCTGCACAGTCAGTTTTTTTAATTTTCATGTTTATCCAGAAAAAGCAGACAGACCCAGACAGATAAAGATGTTATCTTGCCCTGGAAATGTAAAAAAACATGTCTGTATATGGCAGCCACAACCCAGTGTTCTGTCTGCCACGACGATAGGCATTCAGGCGTGGTTAGATAACTTTCTCCGTCTGTCCGACGGTCAGGTGAAGAGTTGCCGCACGACATTGTCCGGATCGAGACAGGGAAAATATTCGCCTAAGCATTCCCGTGGTAGATAGCAATCAGTTGTGTCGGGAACTTTGAACAAATTTGTTTCGCTTCATTGTTATGGTTGTCTCGTATTTCACCGTAAAATAAAGGAGCGTCGCAAAGTCTAATCCAATTTTCTGAAATACTCTCATGTAGGAGGGACATAACATCTGATTATGTCATTGATAAAACTCATGTTGCAGTTTCATTTTAATTTCATGGAAGGTCCCCACGATTAGCTGGGATATAATGTATGGCTTGGTCGTACAGTAGATTGCATATCTGATGCAAGGTTGGGGATAGGAGGATTTACCACACACTTGAGGTTGTTAATTTAGTTCACTGGGTTGAATTGGGTCGCAAAATATTGTTAGCTAGAATTTAATTACGTTCAGATCAGAATACTGGGAG